ACGTGGGAGTCCAGCGACATAGCCATTACGCTAACTGCTGGTTCCCTCCTCTCAGGATCTTGGGCACACACGCACGCGGGCCCGGTGAGAGTTTTAACCCACAGGGTCCCGGACACAAACTGCAGCCAACCAAGTGGGAGTCCAATGACGTAACCATTACACCATCTGCTGTTCCCAAGAGACTAGATTTTCCCAACTGTAAATGGCTGGCCACAAACAAAGGGAAACATGCAGCTGGAGCCACGGCCCCAGGCGTGCGGGCCGGCAGCTGCCCTTCCCATTTCTGCGTCCATACGTGGGCAGGAGGCAGTCCTGGGAAGGCACGCAGCCATCTCTGCGAGTCTGACTCCGAACCAGGACACTCCCATGGCCCAGCCTTGGAGTGCGGTCAGCAGCCAGCGTTGTGGGGCTGGGAGCCGTCCGGCTGACTGGGGTCCAGACCCGCTGGCCGACAGGAAACACGGTGGCGAGTGTGCACAAGGCCACATCCTTGCAGCTAGAGGGCAGGGAGGGGACCGCGGCATGATGCGACCGCGCTGAGGCTGTGTCCTCAGTTTCGCGCATGCGTGCACACTCTGTCCTGAGAGGCCCCGGGGGAAGGCAAGCGTGCTGCTGACGCTGGCTGGCGTGCAGCCGGGGCTCCCGTCACCGCGCTCCATCCACCCTCCTCGCTGCCAATCACTCTCCCGCTCACAGTCCCCACTCCTCACCCACCATCTCGGATACTGGATTTCGAACAAGCCCTACTCTGGCACACCCTGCCTCGCCCCCTTCCGGAGCCTTCTGGGGGGCTTCTTTAGATGCAAAGTAACACATACACTTGGCTTAAGAAATCAGAGCGACTATGAGGCTTTAAAACAAAATCCAGAAGCCCCACCCCATCCTGGGGCCACACTTCCAACTCCAGCTGGGGCGTCTAGCACAGCCTCGCCTCGGCCTCGTGGCCCTACGCCCACACCCCAGCTCTGCTTCCCGCGTCCTTGCACCAGGCCCCGCCATCCCTTCTGAGGACGAGATTTCCCCCCTCTCGCCCGGCCCTGCTTTCCCTCTCCTAATCTCTAGACCTAGCAACATCACATTTTCATTAGATATTAAATATTTTACATTATTCCTAAGAAAATATACAATGCTAAGGCAACAACTGTATTAAGACTGTAGCTTATTTATAGGCCTTTTTTTAATAAAAAATAGACTGGCCCCCACCCTGGTGGCAGGCACTGGAGGCCTGGGTTTGCTGCCCGACCTGCCCCAAAATGGGGGTGATGATATGTAGAGAGTCCTGGCTACTCAAGGAGCTGAGGCAGAGGGTCACCACACAGCAAGACCCTGTCTAAAAATAACAACAATAACAGTAACAGTAAGAGAGCAAACGGAAGCAGGGCCGGAGGGCGGCATGGCAGCGAAGGGAGACTCCCTGTCTCAGGGTGGAGCCTCCCTGGGCCCGTGGGACTCACGTGCACCCACGATCCGGGCTGGCCGCAGGCTGGATGACTATGGCACAAAGAGCCCCTGCAGTCGCTGTCTCTCGGCCCCTCACTCAAGGAAACAGCCGTAATGAGGTAGCAGGCCGCACAACCGCCAGGGCCTGCACACGGGCACGTCACCATCGTCAAGAGCTGCCGGGCCAGACCCAGGCTCTGCCCCTTGAAAGTTCTGGCTCCTGCTCCAGAAGAGCCCAGTCTGGGCACCTCTGAAAACTGAGAAGGACGTGGGGGCTGGGCCACGGCCAGCTGCTGGGAAAGGCAGGGGTTCCACAGTGGCTCGCCCAGCCTCGTTCCTGTTCTGGCAGGACCAGGCTCCAAGGCCTCGAGGAAATCAGAGCGACCCCAAGTGACTGCTGCCATCTGAGGGACAGGCAGAGTGGGGAGACAGGGTCAGAAATGGGACCCAGGG